TCAGGATCGTTTTGCATGAGAAACGAGGCAGAATAGCTGGCAGAAAATATATATAAAATAAGGGTTTGTTCATTGGTCCTATTTTGAGTTGGGGAGCTCGGATTTGGGCGATTTCGGAGGCAATTTTAACCATAGGGATTGGGATAAGTGTTCTCTACTCGGTTTTGGTTATATTTCATGAATCCATCTTTGTTTTTTGGGATTTGATTTATGAATTCAAAGTGAAATTTGGGGGTTTTGCCTAATGTTTCATAAAGTGAATTTTTAAGTTTTGAACATCGATTCAGAGTCGGATATGAGTGAAATTAGTATGGTTGGACTTATAATTGAATGGGTTGTCAGATTTTGTGAGTTTTGTCGAGTTTCGAGGTGCGGGCCCAGGTTGGGCTTTTGGGCCGATTTTGGGCTTTTGATTAAAGATTCGACCTTTTTCAATTGGGATTGGTTCCTTTAGAATTGTTTGATGTATTTGAGTTGCTTTTTGTTAGTTTCGAGCCGTTCGGAGATTGGAACGCGCGAGATGGCATTTTTGGACCATCGCTTGGCTTGCTCGGTATTGGAATTGGCTTGTTCGAGGTAAATAACTCTTCTAAACTTAGTGCTGAGGGTATGAAACCCCAAATTACGTGTTATGTGATTGGTGTTGAGGTGACGCACATGCTAGGTGACGGGCGTGCACCCTGTGAATTGCGACTTTGTTGTTTTCCATGGCACTATATAGTGGCCCTATCTTGTTGATATCTGTGCTTTCACCATGTGATAAAGTAATTGAGCTGTTAATCATGCCGGATATCATGTTTAGGCTTTATGCCAATACTTTTGGGACCTATAGTGGTCATTTCTTGCTGTCATCCCACTGGTTTTCATGATATTTCGTATTCAATCACATTCATGCATCTATATCATATCTTAGTCTCAGTTATTATTCATTGGCACACCATATCATCGTCCCGGTTAGTCTTCATGACATTGTGAGCCCGTGGATGAGATTGGAGAGATTGATTACTGAGTGAGGCCGATAGCCTGATTATGAGTGACAGTTATGGGATCGGGCTACACGCCGTAACATGTTATATTGATTTATGCCTGGATCTGGCTTGTGATAGCGCTTGGGCTGAAGGAGCCCCTCCAGAGTTTGTACACATCCCCAGTGAGCGCGGTTGATTATATTGAGGGATGGATCTTCCTGGACATGGATCTTGTTCGAAGCATTTATATACCTGGAGATGAATCTTCTCTATATGGCCGGATTAACCTTCCTCGGTACTGAGTGACTGATGGTCAGTGATGTATATATTCCGTGATGGATCTTCCCTGGGCACAAATGGGCCATATACAGTACCGAATGGTTGAGCATGATGAGTAGAAAGTGTGAGTCAGTGAGATTGAGTACTATGAGAGTATGAGTACATAATTCATCTCTGAGATACATGGCATTGGCATGCACACATGACATACAGGCATAGAAATGCATTTTTCCTCATGTTGTACGGTATCACGTCATTCATGACTTTTACACACATTGATATGTGGCATAGAGAGGTATTTCACACTTGTTATCTGGAAAGAAAATAAAATATTTTATTTATTGTGGAAAGGATTTTTAGAAAAATTATAGTTTTCAAATTATCTCATATTTGACGACGATTTCGGTAAAGGATTTGAGTTTCACTGATATTCTTGAAAAGCAGAACTATTTTCGGGAAATTGTGAAAAAGCTAAGCATTTTATCTCTGAGTTACTTCCTCATTTATATGCTCTACGTTGTTATGAACTGCTGTTGGTCATTGGTGTTGGACCCTACCTATGTTCCAACTCGTTACTACTTTCAACCTAAGGTTAGGTTTGTTACTTACTAGTACATGGGGTCGGTTGTACTGATACTACACTTCTGCACATTGCGTGCAGATGTTGTCTGTTGTTGTTGCTGTGTTCGATGGTTGCTGGATTTGAAGATATACCTGCGTTCCGGTTGTAGCTGCCTCTTGTTCATGGTAGATGTAGATTTATAAAACTCTATTTATGTACTTTTCAAACAGAAGATGTATTTACTTCATATCAGTTTTGTAGATTCTATTCTTTGAAGCTCATGTTTGTACTACCAGTCCTTGGGAAAGTGTATAAGATTTAGATAATTCTCTTTTTTAAACTGCCTTATTAAATATTATGGGAATTGGATAGTATAGTTGGCTTACCTAGCGGGTTGGATTAGGTGCCATCACGACTAGTGGATTTTGGATCGTGACAACAAACTAACCTTTGCCAATTTTGTCCAACCGAAGTAGAAGACATATACCACATCTTCTTTTCATGCAAAAATTCATACCACTTATGGACTTTGTTCTATCTTCAAAAACCACAAGTACACAACTTTGTCCTTTGGATAAAGGATATGTGTCAAAGACACTACCATCAACACAACAAATGCCTCCATCAAAACTCCAAAATCCACTTTAATACCTCTCATCTTGTGGAACACTTGGCTTAATAGGAACTCCAAACTCTTCAACCACGCAACTTCAATCGCTTGCCACACCAAAATTAAGATCCAAGTTGCTGAGTTCATTTCAATCGCACAGATTGCTGCGAACCCAAAACCTAAGTTTCACATACCAATAAGATGGTACCTACCTATTAACCATTACATGCTAAACATTGATGGAGCTTATGATAAATACAATCAAACCAGTGGCACTGCTGGAATCATCAGAGACCATAATGGCAATTGGATAGTGGGATTCGCGCGTAAGGCAGCTGCAACATTCGCTCTCCACGCTGAACTGCTAGCATTAATGGCTGGACTAGAACTCTCCTTCACAAAAAATCTCTTTTACACTATAGTGAAAAACAGATTCACAGGTATTATGTAACTTATTTAAAGACGAACAACTTCACTACTCACATCTTCTTCATAACTGCAGTTTTCTTTTTGATGTTATTGGAGTGGTAGAAATAACACATATATATCGGGAAGGCAACACTGTAGCGGACGCTTTGGCAAAGTATGGAAGCACCAGGAAACATATATCAACGGAGGAAGATAACATTATGTACTGGAAAATACCTCCGGCTTTTATTTTATCAGTTTTTATTAAAGACAAATAGGGGAAAACCGCAATGCGGTCTATCCCTATGTTATGTAATACCTATATTTCCTATGCTTTTAGTATAACTAGTGTTAGGATACGCGCGATGCGCGTGTACCTTATATGTATGAGTATAACTTTTTAAAAATTTATAAATAATATATTCGAGTTATAAAATAAAATTTAAAAAATATAAGCTCTTGAAATGACATATATTGATCCTATTTAGTTAAAAAAACAACGGATGACCTAGCTAAGCATGGAAGCAATTCAGATAATTCAGATACGTGATCTATCACGTATTCGCATCTTTTATTTTAACATTGTATTAAAATGATTGTTTTAGGTACTGTGCATTCTAGACAGGTCAACTAAAAAAATCGCGACATATAAATTATGTAGCTAAGCAGCAAAACTCCGTCGCTCAATAAAAAATAACGACAAATTATCAAAAATCACGTCCAACTCAAGGTCATTAGTTATAATATCCTTAATATCATTAACTGAATATAAAGAAGAACAGAGATCTTATTTTGATCTTCTTGCAACAATGCTACAAAATTTAGTAAATGGATGTACGGTTAAAAATTTTAATTACCTTCTAAATAAATGCCACAACACATAGTGCAGCAAGTTATATTTACGTAATTTGTATTACTCCCTCCAATTTACAATTAGTGACTTTTTGGGCTTTTGTACACCTCTTAAAAAAATGGGAGAAATTCAAAAATAGCCAGATTTACCATTGGTCGTTGAAAAATACCTAAGTTTCAAAAGTCATCAAAATTTAGCCACTTTAAATCTGAGCGAAAACACTGTTCAAAATCCGGAAAAATACGCCCGCAAATTTTACGGGAGTTCCACCAAGTATAATTGTCCAGTATAATATACTGGAGTTTGGAGCACTGGTGCTCCAGTCTCCCGCAAATTTTACAGGAGTTAGCAAAGTATACCGGTCCAGCATAATATGCTGGAGTTCGTACACAAATGCACCAGAACTCCCGTATATTATACTGGACCGGTCCCTGTTGCAGCAAAATAGTGGCTATTTTTCATTGACTTGATAAACGCTGGCTATTTTTCATTGACCAGTGTGAAAACTGGCTATACCATGATATTTTAACTAAAAAAATAATAACTCCTAGAAAAGATAATTATTTTCACTAAATACCCTTAACTAAAATTTGTGCATTGTTAACTTGGTACATTGGAATATGATAATAAGAGAAAATTTGAAAAACTAAAGTTAATTCATTCTTGGTTATGTAAAAAGAACACTTATTTTGAACCAAAATAAAAAGATTAAAAGGTCACTTATTATGGGCCAGATGGAATAATATATAAAATTTAAGTTATATATATACATAAAGATTTTTTACAATATGATTTAACATTTATTTGTTACAGCATATAAACTATTATCTTAATGTTTATATATTTATATATATATAAAATCTTTTATAAGTGATCTGATTGTGAAAATATTTATACGCCGTCAATACATAGATATCAAAGTCATTTCATCTCGCGATTCACAACATTTTGTAGTCACTTTACTAATACCAAAAACGCTAAGGGGAGTGGTCGCATCAATCAGCTATACCAAGGGCGTAGGTCCAATCAAAATCGCATTATTCTTGTCCCTCAACTAAATAAGATTTTGTTATCAATTCAACGGCTTCGCACCAACAATAGTTGTTTTATTCAATTCACTAACTCTTCCTCTTCTACTAAAGAAAAGAAAATTTTGTCATCAATGCTCTGCTCTCTTTTTTTCCTCCTTTCTTTGACCGGAGATTTCCATTCAAACATAATTCCTTTTCATTCAATAATGAATAACGTTGTAGAGGTTTGACTCAAAGTTATGGTTGGCAAGTACAAACGCGTATTGCAATGAGTATTTTAAGAGATTAATTCCCTTTGTGGGTTTCTTTCTTACAACTACAAGCATATATCACAAAAGACATATCCATTTTTCTGAACTTACTTAACACACAAACATTATGACAAGTCAAGAAATGAAGAATATTTACATTCTTATAATTTTTCTTATTTTATCAATGGATATATTGTGTCTACAAAGCGAATCCAGGATCTTAGACATATCCAATGTCAAATTCAAAGACATTAGTTTAATCAGAGGTCGCAGTAACAGGCAGATTCCTATCAAACCCAATCCATCGCCAACCGCAAATACTCGTGGTCGTTTGTACGGATCTATGAGACCTTTCACTGACTTTTTTCTGCCTTTTTCTTAACATTGTTTTCTGATAGATTTCTAACAGTAAATTTTCTTGTTGCACGCAGTGACTATACTCCACCACCGATGAGCATGAAATAAGGAAGCTCTCAACGATCGAGACAGATCTAGGATCCTAAAGTTGATGGTTCGGCCAAACATATTTAGTACTAAACTGATTGTACTGATTGTTTTTCAAAGTTCTCGTTTGGCCATTGATTTTGGCTTCATTTATTTAGAAATAAAAATAAAAATGTCGTATGCTTATGAAATATGATCACATTTTGGGGGGAAAAACTTCAAAATTTTTCAATTTCCCAAAAACTAGTTTAGGGGCAGTTTTTTGGGTGAAATTTTTTTCTTTCAATCACAAAACTTTAATTTTTCTTCAAATAAAATGCATGTCCAAACACAACTTTAACTTTCAAATATTATTTTTCAACACAACTTTAAAAGGTCTTTTTCAAATTTCAATCAAATCTAAGTCCAACACTAGCTTAATATATTTTTAGTAATTTTCACATATAAATTTGTACTCTCTGTCCAAGATACTGATTTTGTACGAACTCGACCTCTGGAGGCACCGTATAAAGAGTATTGATTTTCAACGCTTTTATGTAATTTGAAAATATGTAACTTGAATTATTAAAAAGTTAGTGAAATTGACACTTCAATTGAAATAAAAAGTCAGATGCTTTGCTTTGCTATTCTAAACTTTACCGTTCCTTTTTAGAACAAAAAGAGTGTTATTATCAGAAAATAAACAGGAGTAAATTATAGTTACTGAAGCTAGTATCAAAGGCTGGTTATGTGGACGTGTCCAGGTGGCAGTCTACTATTGTTGGTGATTGTTGGTGAACTGGTCTTGTATAAAAGTCTGGTTTCAGATGTTAATTAGCTTAATTAGTTAGCTGTTAGTGACCATTAAAATTAGTTGTTAACTACAGGCTTAGATTTATATTAGTTTGTTGGCATACTCACTTATATAAATTGCCATATACAAGTAATGAAATGTGAGCGGTTATCAGTACCGGCTCAAGGGGAGGCGACTAAGTGCCCGTTTGGATGGGCTTAATTTAAGTGGCTTTTAAGCCAAAATAGCTTTTAAGCCATAAGTTAGGAATTCTAGCTTTTGGCTTTTGGCTTATTTTTGTCATTTTAGCTTAAAAATAAATGCTTAAAAGCACTTTTTTACTCTATCCAAACACTACAAAATGGCTTAAAAATTATTTTGGCGTAAAAGCACTTAAAATAAGCCAATCCAAACGGGCACTAAAGCAATTGCTTTAGGCCTCCCCAAATTAAAGGCCTCAACTTTTCTTTAGTAGTTAATATTGTGTTATTATAAAATTATTATAAAAAAGATACCAGATTTTTTTCTTTTTGGAGTGTAATAGAGGTTATTTAGACAAATTTTTGAATTTCATAATAAACATGCAATATAGCAAAATAACATGAGTTTGATGACAACATTGCTAAAAAAATAATTAAAATAAAGTCTTTTGCAATATTTTTTGAAGTAGATTATTTCTTATAAAGAGTAGATGAAGTCATTTTTTTCAAGTTCAATTACACTTAAACTATTTCAAATGTATAAAATTATTTTAACATCTACCAGAATTAAGATTATCAAATGATTGAAACTTACAAAAATGTTATCCTTAACTGCGGATGTTTTTTAAAAAAAAAAAAAATTTGAAACTTTGTAAGTAGAGTCACTAGATGTTTTCGATGGTGGGGAGCTAGCAGATGGTCAACCAAAATACGTACAAGATGATTCATAAACCATTATTAGAAAAAAATCAAATAAGATTAAATACAACCTTTTTTACTATAATTTAAGGCCCCTTCTTAATTTTTGGCTTTAGGCAAGGCGGTTATCATTTTCACTCATAACATTTTTTCTCTTTTCTTCTTCTGCAAGTTTCCTCCATCGGAGAGCTTTGAATCCGTCATTGTTATCGGTGGCGGATGTAGAGTATACATAGTGGGTTCCCGAGAACCCAGTAACTTTTGCGTAGACTTTGTATTTTTATTAAAAAATCCATTAAATATCAATAAATATATAACTGTGAACTCAGTTATTATTGTATATTAATTAGATATTATAATAGGGACCCATAACCTTCAAATCCTGAATCCGCCTCTGATTGTTATATTCTCTGACTGTTTACCTTTTAACATGGTATCAAAGCTAATAATGACCGGCTATAAGCATGATTTGGTTATGCTCATTGTCTGTTATCCTTTCGTGGCTTATGAAAATGTTGTCCGCAAAACTTCTTAGTGGGATCGCCTACGCCTCGAACACTCATCTTATTTGGGAAGACTCGAAGGAACGATTTTATAATATACGTAATTTATATTAAAATAGAAAATTTAAGTCATATATACGTAAAGGTTTTTTACAAAGTGATTTAATTTTTATTTGTTACCGCATATTTCATACTTCACGGTCTAGTAATTAATGATTATAAAAAAAATTATATAATTATCTTATAAGTAATCTGATTGTCGAAATATTTGTATGCCGTGAATACATAGATATCAAATTGCACCTGGTAATTCACAACATTATCATACTTCTCGGTCTAGCAATTAATGTTTATCAAACAAATTATATATAATTATTTTTATAAGTGATCTGATTATCGAAATATTTGTTCACCGTCAATACATAGACATCAAAGTATTTCACCTGGTGATTCACAACATGACCATACTTCTCCGTCTAGGAATTAATGTTTATCAAAAAAATTATATATAATTATCTTATAAGTGATGAATTGTCGAAATATTTGTAGGGCGTCAATACATAGATATCAAAGCCATTTCACCTAGTGATTCACTGCATTGTGTAGTCACTTTAGTAATACCAAAATTGCTAACGGGAGAGGTCGCATCAATCAGTAAAATCAGCGGCGTAGCTCCGATCTTAATCGCATGCATTATTCTTGTCCCTCAACTAAATAATTTTTTTTATCAATTCAAGGGCTTTGCACCGACAATAATTGTTTTGCTCAATTCACTAACTCTTCCTCTTCTACTAAAAAAAAAAAGAAAACTTTGTCATCAATTCTCTGCTCTCTTTCTTCCCATTCTTTGACCCGAGATTTCCATTCAAATATGATTTTTTTTTTTAATTCAATATTGAGTACTTGTAGAGGTTTGACTCTTAAGTTATGGTTGGCAAGTGCAAACACGTAACTAAATGAATATTTTAAGAGATTAATTCCCTGCTGGGTTTCTTCTCTCAACTAGAAGCATATATCACAAAGACACATTGATGAACTTAACACACAAACATTGTGACAAGTCCCGAAATGAAGAGTATTTCTGCTTTCGGCATTCTCGTAATTTTTCTTATTTTATCAATGGATACGTTGTGTGTGGAAAGCGAATCGAGGATCTTAAACATATCCACTGTCAAATTCAAAGAGATGAGTTTTATCAGAGGTCGCAGTAACAGGCAGATTCTCGTCAAACCCTATCCTTCGCCAGCGGCAAATCCTCCTGGTCGTTTGTACGGATCTAAGAAACCTTTAACTAACTTTTTTTCTGTCTTTTTTAATTTTTTCTGAATGATTTCTTACAGTAATTTTTCTTGTTGCACGCAGAGACTATAGTCCACCACCGATGAGCAAGAAATAAAGAAGCTGTCAATGATGGAGACAGATCTAGGATTCTAAGTTGATGGTTCGACCTAAGATATTTAGTACTTATTTTTTAAGATATTTGTTAAAATTATAGTAATTTTCACGTATAAATTTATACTCTATGATTTCGACTTGACCAAGATGTATTTAGGCAACTTTCTGGAAGCGCCGTATAAAAAGTGGAGTATTGATTTGCAATGCTTTTATGTAATATCAAAATATGTAACTTCAATTAATGAAAAATTGGTGAAATTGGCACTTCAATTGAAATAAAAAGTCGGATGCTTTGACTTTGTTATTCTAACCGTTATAGTTGACAAATCTGATCCATTATTACAAACGTATTGGATACCCTACTGACTTTAAGGCTCGACATTAGCAATGCCATCTAGACCTTAAGTCAGTGTATGCGGAAGCCAAAGAAGTCTCACTAGGAGGCTGCATTAAGAGTTGTAAAGTACTTGAAGATTGCACTAGGCCAGGGAATATGCATGGCTGAAGGCAGAACCCGTATGAATATTGACCTGCTAGTATGATTTAGACAGGGTTGCTTTTCCCAACACTAGAAGATAAGTGACATGGTACCTTATCAAGTTTGGAGAGTCCTCCCTCTCTTAAAAATCCAAGAAACAATACACTATGTCTAGAAGTTCGAGGCAGATTGTAAAATTATGGCACCAACTGTTGCAAAGATTACACTACAGGAAGTCATAACTACGACAACATTTAATCAGCGACATATATAATAAATGTCGGAAAAAAGCTAATTTTGTGACATTTTAAGAAATGTAGTAAAATGAGTGACATTTATTTAATAAGAAATGACAAAACTATTGAGACTTTTAAGTAAAACTAGTATATATGTACCTTCTTTGCACGTAGATGTTTTGTCAATTATTTATATGGAGGAACAAAAAATTGTTGTTGTCAATATTAATATTTCTCTAAGAAATTTAACATATAATTGTCTGTATGAGTAAACATGTAGCAGCAAATACATTCTAATATTTGAGATTGTGTGGTCATGTCCTTTATTTAGCCTTTTCACGAAACACAAGTGTACCTAAAATTATTCTTGGTCATATTTAAATACTTTTGTCGTTCAATATTTAGCGGGAACATTAAATATAACATATAAATAAAACAATAATATAAGAAAATAGATATTAAAAGTGTAAACCATTGACGTGATTAATATCAATTAATTATATGTGATTGTTTGTTGACGGACAATATTAATTTTATGCTACTTATGAAAATATTAAATATTTTTGAGCTAATTCGTGCTATGTATTACTTTTTAGTTACCTCTATGAAGCGGATTATTTTTCTAACATGGGGAGTTCTCTCGCTCAAATTTTATAGCAAGGTCACCCAGGTCTTTTACTCTTATAAAAGAGTTAGATAGCGTAGTATCCTTAATCTCAAAAATATCTTAAAAAGAACATAACCAAGTAATTTGCATATTTCTTGAACATAACCAAATAAATTCGCATATATCTCTTGAACTTAGTTTATGAGTCATGTGTCCTGTTTGTTTTTAACTTCGTAGCTGATAAGCAACTTTATGCTATGTACTTGGTATTTTTTTCCTTTCAATTAATCATTTAATCTCCTTTTGAGATTACATTAATAGTTAAATAGCATCATGAAAATCTAAAACTATTTTATCCCTATATTACGACCCGGCCAGTCGTTTTAAGAATTTATGCCTCGATCCCCTATTAACTGCTTTCTCCGTATTTGTTTCCGCTATTTTGTATTGCCGGGATGTTTGGTCTTGAGTTTCGGAGTGTTTTGGGACACTTAGTCCCTAAAAGAGAGCTTAAGCTTTAGAATTTGGACCATAGTCGGAGCAGTGTGAAGGCGGCATCGGAATGGAATTCCGTTGGTTCCGTTAGCTCCGTTGGGTGATTTCGGGTTTAGGAGCGTGTTCGGATTGTGTTTTGGAGGTCCGTAGCTTATTTAGGCTTGAAATGCCGAAAGTTGAATTTTTGAAGTTTTCGGTTCGATGGTGAGATTTTGATCTAAGGGTCAGAATGGAATTCCGGAAGTTGGAGTAGCTCCGTAGTTTTGAATGTGACGTGCTTGCAAAATTTCAGGTTATTCGGAGGAGGTTTGATAGACTTTTTGATCGAAAGCATATTTTGAGAGTTTTGAAGTTCTTAGGCTTGAATTCGATGCTAATTGGTTGATTTGATGTTGTTTGAGGTGTTTTGAAGATTCGCATAAGTTTGTTCAGTGGTATTAGACTTGTTTGTGCTTTTGGTTGAGGTCCCGGGGGGCCTCGGGGTGATTTCGGATGATTGACGGAAATATTAGGAAATTGGAGTTGCAGCTGAAGTTTAGGATTGCTCA